CCCTCACTGGAATGTTTGATGGTAAAGCCGGGCTTATTCAAACACTTACTGAGTTTATTTCGCAGGGCCCTGCCTGTGTTTAGCGAGTAAGTTTTGCAAACCGCTGAACGTAGTCCAGCTCGACCCCTGACCTTGACAGCGGGTGATATGGAGCCCTCCCCATCTCCCATTGTTCACTTGCACTGTAGTTCCCGCATCGCCTGGCTCATAGCTCAGCAGCCAGAACACAAGACCTGTGCTTCGATTGGCTAAACGAGTGAAACAGGAATGTGTTTTTCTCTCCTCTTGTTTGGTATAGCTATTGACTGGGTGACAAAAATATGTGCAGGAAATACAGACATTGACTGGGTGGAAAATACAAGTGGAGTATTTTTAATTTGCAGATAATACTGTTCTAAGTCAAATCTGTGATGACATGCAAAGAAAAACAGATGATTCAGCTCAAGTGTTGAATTACAAATCTGGTATGAAATGACAGACATCAATAGCAGATCAAGCAGATGTCACACTGGAGACAGAAAGAATTAAAGTAGCATGTCCATTTACCTATTTAGGGAGCAACTTTGACAGCCAAGGAAAGACAATGAAATAAATTATGAAACACAATTATATCGTTTTAAAACAGAGTTATGTATTTTTAATTCTACTGTTACTTATCGAACCTGTTCTGTTGTATGGCAGTGAATCTTGGAATGTGAGCAAACAAACTGAGAGTTTCAAGACATCTGAGATGTGGTTCTTGAGAAGAATGTTGTGAATACCTTGGTCTGCCAGAATAACCAACAATGATCGCCTGGAAAAGGCTAATGAAAGTAGAACATTATACCAATGAGAAGGAGACAAAGTTCTTTAGTTATGTGATGAGAAAAGGAGCACCGGAAAATATTGTGATGACTGGAAAGATCACTGGTAGAAGAGGCAGACCAAAAGAAAATGATGGTGGATGGCTTAAGACAGTGGCATGGAGGAATATCACCAGTAGAACTGATCCAGAACACCAAAGACCGAGATATGTGGAGATGCATGAATGCCTGTGCAAGCTGGCAAGGCACTTGATGATGGCTGTTATTCAAATTTTTAACCATGCCAGGGAAAGTTGGAGAGCCACTAAAGACATGGAACGCAAATAAAATGCCTTTGAAAAACATAAATCCTCAGGAAATCAATGAATATTACATGGAAGGGTTTCAAGAAAAGTGAAAAGTAAGAGAAATGTCTGGAAAATTGTAATTTCTGGATAATCGCTTGTATCAAACTTATAGGAAAAACAAGATGACGATATGTTTGGCATATCATGAGGGGAAGCGGTCAGCAAATCAGTAAAGAAGCACTAAAATTGGAAACAAAATGATGATGTCAAAAAAAAAAAAAAAAACTTAAGAAGAAAGTTGATAAGAAATGCTATTGGTGATGGACTGAATTCCAGCCATGATATCAAAAAACATTGTAGAGGAGAGAAGGGAATGAAAAATGGGTCAAATTTGGTACATGATGGCATGATAGGAGAATGGAGAATCATTGGTCAGTCAGTGATCATCAATGCGCGTGCTTACAGTTTTGACAGAAACAATGTGATTATTCAAGACATAAAGAGTGATGCTTCCCAATAAACGACACCTTTCCACACCTTCAAGGCTAGACCTATATTTTATAGACCAAACGGCATTCGGTGGATCATGTGGTCAATTCCACGCTGGCTGCCTTTACTTCCCAGGACTATACATGGTACCTATTTAAGGCTGGGTCGACCTGGGAAACAAGGCCACAACCTTCAAACCTGCTAAAGAGAGTCTAGCCGCTACACCTCGGCGGCTCCCATACTTCCCAATAAGCCTGCATATATGCAGACTTGATACTGACAAAGTGATGCACACATTTAAGTGTATACCTGTTGTCCTCCTACTCCTCCTGCAGACTTGATACTGACAAAGTGATGCACACATTTAAGTGTGTACATGTTGTCCTCCTCTTCCTGGAGACATATTTGGTTTCCTTCCCGTCCATTGCCTTCCTTGAACCAAAACAATCAACACTTTCAACCAGCATCCCTGAATAGGAAGCTTTAGGTTATAATTGTGACTAGGTTTATGTGCGCCATATAAAATGGCTCAGCACTGCTCGCCACTGAAAGTAGCCCTGAAAAGGACTTTTGTAGTGCTGATGCCATCAAAGGAGACAGACTCAAATGACCATGAGAAGGTCAGCACCGGTGAGCCAACAGGTGATCTCGTTGCCGATGGATGATTTCCTTCTTCATCTGACTTTATTTATAGAGGGGGGTTAGGGTGGGCCTTGGCGATAAAGTAAAGTAGTTTGCCCTGTGTGCTGAAGGTCATCAGTTGTTTCAGACTTCGCCCATTTGGTTCATAAGTGAAATTTTTTATAAAGATCCTTGTTGACTGCTGCTGGAGCTTCACAGTTCGTGCTTTAGGTGATGCTCTCAGCAGGTTACTGCACAGATCACCCGATACATGTGTTTTTTTTAGGTCCCTCTGGATGTTTTACCTTGTTCGTGCTTATTGATTCCTTCTTTCATTTTTTTAAAAATTATGTACATAATTTTTTTTTAACGAACATGTTAGTGATCTGTGTAAAATTGCCTTTTTTTCTTCTAAAAACAGAAACAAGATGGAGTAAACAAACGGTTAACATTCTGTGGGATGAAAATGTGTGTTTTTTTAAACATCAGTGTGTTCATATAAGAATGATCCTGCTACAGATCCAGTAAGCCAGTAGGGAATTTATTTGTTCTCAGGAAAATGCTCAAGAATTAAGGAGGAATTTGAAGATCAAATTATTCCTCACCAGGACGCTTAACGGCAGAAGTGGTTTATGATGATGATGATGATGATGATGATAATTTTAAAGGGGTCATTTTTTTTGTTAAAAGCGTCCCTGGGACGAAAGGGTTTACTTTTTTATTCACAACAAATTTGCAAACCAGCATTCACAAACATACAATTTATCATAACAAACGCAGGAAACCAATGCACATAGCTGGCTAAAAATGGTCAAGAACAAGGTAGAACTAAAACTAGTATACAAATAACAAGGAAATAAACACATTGCAAAAATCTCTAGGCTACTGTACTTACAAAAGAATTCTTTGCCTATGATGGATTTAGGAGAGAAAATATGACTTTAAAGTGAGCATTGCTGCACGTGCTTTATGATTAAATATGATGTATGTAAATGAAGAAATATGTACCTACAGAGTGACCAACATAAAGTGCATGGTTATCCTCCGACTAACGGTCGGTAAAGATGGCGGCCGCAAAATATCCTTTCGAGCCACAGTCACATGTCAATTACGCACTAGTGGTCACGAGCACACCGCGGCTGCTGTTAGTGGGTCCTAGCCATCTAGTTTAGCCCTATTCCACGGTGTGCGGGACACGTGGCAGTAGTCGCCGGCGCAACTGAGACGTGACTGTAGCTTGAAAGGATATTTTGCTTCCGCCATCTTTACCGACCGTTAGTCGGAGGATAGCCAAGTTCATGTGACATTCATAAATGAAAGAGTATCATACTGTGGAACGACTAACAGGGGTACATAACGATACTTGATAGACAAGTATCCTACTACTGAAGCAATAGAATCATTCTCAATCATATGTGTAAAACACAAATACTTTAAAACTCCTTATAACATCAACATCATTTACAAACCACTTGTCCTAAACATTAACAGTCTATGCAAACTTAGAGACAAAAATTATTCAGCAAACATGAAACAATTTCCTCTAGATTAGATATTCGAACCCGAATATGCCATTTAGATGTAACACATTTTTATCAATGAAGCAGGATATAGCACATGAGCCATTATAATGTTCCAGTTAGTTTACTGACTTACTAACACAGCAGATTGGGTTCCAATCCCCACTATTGGCATGCTTCTGCCCCAGCTAATAATGTTCTGGCATTCACCCAGAAACATAAAATAGAATGTTAAAAGCAGCCTGTACAATACTGGTCCAAAAAAAGTTTGCATGTTGTTAATTAAAGCCACAATTAAGTAATAAGCCCAACACCACAGCCTCATAATAGAGAGACAATTCAGCACACAAAGAAGAGTCAGATAAATTAGGTCAAAAAGAGATGGAAAGAATACCAAAATATGGCAAAGGATGGGAGCACAACTTAAAAAAAACTTGTCAAGGAGAATAAAGTGCAGAAACAGAACAGAAAAACCCTGAATCAGGCATTTCTGCACCTGAATTATCTCAGTAAATGCCGCTTACCCGGCTTTATCCAATGGTTTGACCCAGGTGGCCTAGTTGAATGTCATTGGTGCTATTTGTGCCTGGGCAGGGTTCAGGAGGCGTGGATATGATATTTACTAAACGAAATAGCATTCAGGGGACTTTTCTTGTGACCAAGATGACTTTTATAGCCATTTTGATGTCATAATTTTCCCACAGCCTCATTGTTAGAGGTCACAGTATGAGTCACCCCATTGATATTTTTAAAGCCTCTAGAAATGTACACCATTTAATGGTTCACTTCATTTGTGTTTACTGATTACATTAGATTAGCTGCATATCCTTTGAAGGATACTGAGAACCAATCCCAGCGTTTGTTAGATATTTGCTTTTACTAGGCAATTTTACGCTCAGTAGTTCTTCATTGTTTACTGAACGGTCGGCGGCTCTCCACATTACTACAGAAATTAATGCCAAGCGGTCTGCTACCAAATTGCATGCCCAAGCCAAATATATTTTCTTCAATACAGACATAAATGTTTTTTATAATGTATATATCAGCTGCCCCGTTTTCTTAAAGGATTTTATTTTGGAATTCCCGCAGGATCCTTTTTACAAAAAAAAAAAAAAAAAAAAAAAAAAAAAAAAAAAAAAAAAAAAAAGTTTCAGGACATGAGGAGTAAGCTTTAATGGCATATAAAGGAGATCATTTTACTCTGACTTTAACGTATCCACTATTTTCCCTTGATAAAGCATTCCCACTTGTATTCTACTTTCAAGAAGCAAGACACTCACATCTTTGGCCTCTGCCTCCAGTTTTTCCATGGAAACTATAACATCCCCCTCGTCCTCAGCAACACAGTTAGGGGAGACCGGTGTGTTGGACCCTTGACTGTTTGGGGTCGTCGTCGTCATCATTACTTTGTACTAGAAAACACCACAATAAATTGTTTAGACGGTAAGCCACTAGTAATGTCATGTGCTTTACAAGTGCATGTGTTTACAGTACTTTTATAATGACGACCCTGTTCTTCTCCTGATTTGTTTTGCGCACCTGTCTATGACAAGAGAAGGTAACTTTCTGTCTCAGACAGTTATTACCTAATAACTAGGACAGAGAATACTAAAGTAAAACAGCTATTGCAGCTTGGAGAGAAATATTTAAAGTAAAACAGCTATTGCAGCTTGGAGAGAAACATTTAAAGTAAAACAGCTATTGCAGCTTGGAGAGAAACATTTAAAGTAAAACAATTATTGCAGCTTGGAGAGAAACATTTAAAGTAAAACAGCTATTGCAGCTTGGAGAGAAACATTTAAAGTAAAACAGCTATTGCAGCTTGGAGAGAAACATTTAAAGTAAAACAATTATTGCAGCTTGGAGAGAAACATTTAAAGTAAAACAGCTATTGCAGCTTGGAGAGAAACATTTAAAGTAAAACAGCTATTGCAGCTTGGAGAGAAACATTTAAAGTAAAACAGCTATTGCAGCTTGGAGAGAAACATTTAAAGTAAAACAGCTATTGCAGCTTGGAGAGAAACATTTAAAGTAAAACAGCTAAGAAAGAAATGTGGAAATTAATGACCAGGACAAACTGATTTACAGTACATCAACTTGGATGATAATATGTCAAGTAACAAGTAGGGTAGAAAACAACTCTGGCAGAAAGCTATACCTAGAACAGAAAAGTTAACACACAGAACAAAAAGTAGCACCCAGGACAGCAACAACAACAAAAAATCCTAAAAGTACAGCTAGTCATTAACACAAGCACAGATAAGTGAGCGCTGTGGCCAGAAAGCCTTCATCAGGACATGACATGAATAGACATCATTACATTTAGAAATACACAAGAATACACAAAAATCCCTTAGCTATCTCCAAGAAAAATCCACGTCTGCTGGCCAGCTGAAGCTCTGAGGCACAAGAGAACATCCACGAAATAAAAATAGCACATAAACAAGAAATTAACAGCTGAGAAAGAAAGTAACAGGGTCAAAGTGGGTACAATTACTGACTGGCACTGACAGAATAACACAAGAATCATGTAGGTTTTGCTTGTTACAGAAAGAATGACGTCACAAGATTGTCTTATTTACAGGTAGGTGGGTGTCTGTGTACACTTTTAAGTTTTCTTCCTTTTGCACGTCTGCTACAAGCAACACACAAGCACTCATGCAGCAGTGTTTTCTCAGCCATGGCTGGTCCTGTCATGCTACTTAAACATTAACTGGCAACAAGATATATAATACCAGGAAAATGTCTGTCCGTGTGTGAGTGAGTCGAGGAGAGAGAGAGAAAAAGAGAGTTAGTGTGTGGACAGTATATCTATGTCTGTCTGAATGGGGCAGGGTGGATTTGTGTATACGGATGAGTACCGGCATACCTATGTCAGCAGTACATTTGCAGGCACCCATACAAGCAACTTATCTGGGTGTGTGTATGGAGACAATATACTTGAGCTCATGCGTGACAGAGCAGTACATTTGCAGGCACCCACACAAACAACTTCTCTGGGTGTGTGTATGGGGACAATATACTTGAGCTCATGTGTGACAGAGCAGCACATTTGCAGGCACCCATACAAACAGCTTATCTGGGTGTGTGTATGGGGACAATATACTTGAGCTCATGTGTGACAGAGCAGCACATTTGCAGGCACCCATACAAACAGCTTATCTGGGTGTGTGTATGGGGACAATATACTTGAGCTCATGTGTGACAGAGCAGCACATTTGCAGGCACCCATACAAACAACTTCTCTGGGTGTGTGTATGGGGACAATATACTTGAGCTCATGTGTGACAGAGCAGTACATTTGCAGGCACCCATACAAACAACTTCTCTGGGTGTGTGTATGGGGACAATATACTTGAGCTCATGTGTGACAGAGCAGCACATTTGCAGGCACCCATACAAGCAACTTATCTGGGTGTGTGTATGGGGACAATATACTTGAGCTCATGTGTGACAGAGCAGTACATTTGCAGGCACCCATACAAACAACTTCTCTGGGTGTGTGTATGGGGACAATATACTTGAGCTCATGTGTGACAGAGCAGCACATTTGCAGGCACCCATACAAACAGCTTATCTGGGTGTGTGTATGGAGACAATATACTTGAGCTCATGCGTGACAGAGCAGTACATTTGCAGGCACCCACACAAACAACTTATCTGGGTGTGTGTATGGGGACAATATACTTGAGCTCATGTGTGACAGAGCAGTACATTTGCAGGCACCCACACAAACAACTTATCTGGGTGTGTGTATGGAGACAATATACTTGAGCTCATGTGTGACAGAGCAGTACATTTGCAGGCACCCACACAAACAACTTATCTGGGTGTGTGTATGGAGACAATATACTTGAGCTCATGTGTGACAGAGCAGTACATTTGCAGGCACCCACACAAACAACTTATCTGGGTGTGTGTATGGGGACAATATACTTGAGCTCATGTGTGACAGAGCAGTACATTTGCAGGCACCCACACAAACAACTTATCTGGGTGTGTGTATGGGGACAATATACTTGAGCTCATGTGTGACAGAGCAGCACATTTGCAGGCACCCATACAAGCAACTTATCTGGGTGTGTGTATGGGGACAATATACTTGAGCTCATGTGTGACAGAGCAGTACATTTGCAGGCACCCATACATGCAACTTATCTGGGTGTGTGTATGGGGACAATATACTTGAGCTCATGTGTGACACAAGTGTATTCTGCATGAATGTGGGCAGCAGTAATGTGGCAGTCTAAGAAAGATCGGAGAGCACTGATGTAGATACACTTCTATTAAAAAAATTACCCATAACGGCACACAGAGACCCAGGTCAAGTAAGACAGTGAACAGGTGACTAAATTATACATATCTGTGTGATAAACCAGGCACGTGCACTACTTGTGTTACCATGAAGATGATGTACAAACATGCAACATCATGCAAATGTGGCACTATTAGTTTCACTGAGCAATACTGGACTGCCACTGTGTAGTAGCATTCATGATCAACTCATGCATTACATACACAAGGAAGCTTCCGACCGAAGGAAAAACAAGATTAGACCCACTGCCCCCTTAAGGAGTATATGTGACTAAACCAGGGTTCCTTCAAAGTCTGAGTGCACCTGCCTGAGAGGTGAGAAACCAACAGTCTGCACATCAGTAAGCATGTAAGATAAGGAACACGCCAAACTCAAGTTCCGGAACAGAACCATAAAGTCCGGACAAGGACTAATAACCAGAACTTTCCATCAGAGTTTACAGCCAGTGAATGTTAAGATGAAGGCGATACACATGCAGCCACGATGGACTGTCAAATTTATATGGCTTTGGGTTAAACTTAGTCTTAAAGGTACCATTTGGTGGTCGAGGTTTCAACGTCTCTGCAAACGCACCACCCCATAATTGCCCCTCACAGTCTCATTTCAAAACAGTGAACAAACAACCAGTCCCAGCAAAATTCAAAAACATGCACATGTAGTAAATGTATAGAAACAGCTCATAGAGGTGCCGACACAACAGTGGCTATCAGAACTGCAATATGTCGTTGATGGAAGTAGTCCAGCCACAACAAACTGGCATTACACACTCAATATTAATGCATAAGGTACTTAGACAGTGCAAATGCAAACCAGCCACCAGACATTTTACACAGGTACTAGATAATTTCTACAAATTGTTGGCTAAGGAAAGGTGACTACTGAGGAAGCTGGAGATCTTACTCCAACAGGTTATGACCTCTATATGTAAAGTAGCAAAACATGATACTCTTGTCATGATATCTATAGTGGGGCTATCTTTAACACTTTTAAACAGCCTTTTGGCACCTTTCAATCCTTCCAGAGGGTGGGTGTGAATTAAGGCCAAAGAAGGTCTTCTTTTCTAAAGCAGAAAGCCAGGGTAGTATTGTAGAGACCGATGCCCATGAAGTATGATCCATCTCTCGGCCTCCCTTGTTTACCACAAAAGAAAGGTAACACCAAAACATTTGAAATAAAGTATGATTTCTATCTCTCTCTCTGCCTGCCATGTTTACTCCAAAGAAAAAGTAACCAACACATTTGGAACAAAGCATGCTGCAAAAGCTGCAGGATTAGAAGAACCCCCATGTGGGTTCCGGGGCCCCATTGTGGGGAAAACAAGAATTGACCCACTGCCTCCCCAAAGGCATGTCCTAGGAGTAGACTAATTGGGGAGCTTCCTTTGAAGTCGGAGTGCATCTGCCGGAGAGGCAAGGAACCAAAAGTCTGTATTTAAGAGAATGAGATCTGTAAAACTGATGCACACGCAACACTCAGGTTCTGGAGCAGGACTGCAGTTCAGTAGTGGACGATCAACCAGAACTTTTCGCCAGAGTGTACAGCTGGTGAACGTGAAGAAGAAGAAGAAGAAGAAGAGCAGTGCTTTTGTTAAACGTTAAGTTGTTAGGTTGCACCTCCTCTTCCGGAGATAAGGCTCATCCTCCTTGACGTGCTCCTCTTCCTGGAGCTGCTGGCACAAGAGCCTTGTCAAATTTGCTATACACCGCCCAACATTTAGTGTTAACAAGAGAACAGGCAGTAGCAACTATCGTTTTAAAGAAGCTCGGTCACATCTGGCCAAGGCCTGACACAGATTTAAAAGCAAATGACTCACAGGGCATCAAGCCAGACTCACAGGGCATCAAGCCAGACTGACAGCTTTGTCACAAGCTACACCAAAACTGCTGAGCGACCTCTGCATGTTCTCCCTACATGTCACAAGTAGAGCCAACTTTAATTATGAACACATGTAAACCTGAAGAGATGCTTACCTGTGGATTGTCCTTAGCTAGATTCTGAATCTTATGCCAAGCTTCATCTCTTTGTTTGAGCTTTTCTTTGTCCCTGTGAATATATTTTCAATCAGTAATTTATTTATGTGGCTATTTACTCCTGCTGAAAACCCATTACCTATGCTTACCGCTTATTGTGTTTCTTGCAGATTATTAGTTAAGATTTGTAAATAATATTTCACAATTATTAAAAGAAAACTCTCTGATAGTATTTGTCCTTATAATTTGCCTTTAATCTCCCAAAGAAGCATAACCCTCAACCCACTCACCTCCAAAAGACTTTTCATGACTGGCTCAATTTTGCAGCAACATTTTCTAAAGGAGGAAGTAGGCAGTCTCATAGAAACCTTCCTTAGCTGCCTCTTATGGCATGCATAGCAGGTTACAATATTAATATTCTGTGCCTCCCCTATACACCCTAGGAAAGTATGGAAATTATAATTAGGAGCTGGAGGTGATAACTAATGAAGCACCAGACATGTTCATCATCATGGAGCAGGTCCTGTGCTAAAAGTTGCTCTCATCACAGTCTGCCTGAAAGAAACTTGATCTTTAACCAGATTTCCTGCCTTGTGCACTTTCCTACCCATGGTGTCACTTATATCTAGTGCTGATCTTCGTGCTGGTCACCCACCCCTGTTCTGCTTTCCTGGCAACAAGCTTCTGCTACTATTCTTTCCAATCCGCCGTGGCACCTTATACGGCCAAAATATTTCAGTTTTCCAAGACAAGATGCTGTCTTCTAGACAATCTTCCTTGAAGTCCAGATCTTTTAAGGTGTCAATATTTCTCTTCTTCTTGGTCCATGGAATTTTTTGAATCTTTTTATCATCAATTATTCAGGTGCTGTCTCCACAATAAAGGTTTGCTGTAATAGATCTCCAATATGCTCTTTGGACAATACCTCTGACTGCTGTTTATCCAACTCTTGATGCTGTCATCCTACTTAAATCACTGTCTGCCTCGCTTGTCTTCAACTTGTATCTCTTGTCTGGTTTTTTAAAAATAACAGTGTCATGTCTTTTAAAATGGCCAAAATACTTCACTTGTCTCCATTTATTTCCTTCAACTCTCTCGTCATTTCTTGTCTCTCCACAACCTCCCTATCTGACTGTTTTGTTCCCATGAAATACAACTTATTCTTCTTTATATTCATATCTCCAGAGACTCAATACAATTTTCCCCCAATCGGGTTACGGGGCCCCATTGAGGGAAAAACAGGAATAGACCTACTGCTTTCCCCACAATCATGTCGCAGGAGACGACCAACTGGCGGTTTCCTTTGAAGTCAGAGTGCATCGACCCAAGAGGCAAGAAACCAGCAATCTGCATACAATTAAGTCAGATGTGTAAAACAGATGTGCAGGCAACACTCAGCTTCTGGAACATGGCTAATGTCCAGAAGTGGAGGAACAACCAGAACTTTCTGCTGTAGTTTACAGCCAGTGAACCCGAAGAAGGAGAATCCCATTTACACAGCATGTGAAAGACAAATAAGGTTAGATTCAAGCTGATTTTACTAGGCAATCTTCCAGTTACGTCGGCTCTGTGGCTAAGTCAATGCAAATGCTTTATAATGCCGGGGTGCCGCGTTCGATCCCAGCTGCAGGCCATGCGCCTTGCATTGGTTTCGACAGTGGTATCAGGGGGCCGACCATCTAGAAAGCAATGGCAAACTACTGGATGTAAATTTGCCTAGAGAAACCACACAACAGCCAGGGGCTGCTGGGGTTGGTTCTGCAACATCCTGTAAAGGATACGCTATCTTAACCTTTCAGTTACAGATAAATAACTCTCATCACACTCATAAGATCAGCGACTACATGGCTGGAGAAATGTCATTTAGCAATCATAACTTACTTCTGTCTCTCTGCTTTATACTGCTGAGTACAATCATCAAACAACTTTTGATTCATCTCCATAAACAGTTTGAGTGCATTGTATATCAATCCATGAATTGTTCTGAAATGAGAAGCACACACTGATATGAAATCACATGGGAACAGTTGTAGCAGATTGAGTTCATCTAGAGAGAAGATAACTAGAGTGAAGTGAAAAACATAGCGAAGACAAGGGTGTGAGCTTCATGCGATAGCAAAGGATAGGATGGCTTTGTGCGAGTTGGTTGAGGGCCTTTGCCCTGGACCGGGGAGGGAAAAAGGTGAGTAAAGGGCAAAAGAAAAAGAAGGAAGGTAAAGCAGAAAAAAAAAGAAGAATAAGAAGAAGCTGTGTGCAGCAGAGAATAGTTTTTGTCAGATAGGTAAAAAAAAAAAAAAAAAAAACATACACACATTATTACTGAGAAAGCATGACTTTATGCTGAAAGATCTACAACTCAACCCCCAGCAGTGGACAACAACATGAAGGTAGCCCCTATGCAACTGAAGTGTTCATTATTCAGACTAAGACATGTTTTCAGTCATAACATAACCACCAAATGGGGTAGCTCATCCCTTCTTCCCTGCCCCCGACTCTTTAGTATGTTTTGCCCACAAGTAGAGAGCACATTATGCAATGGGGATATCAAGGAGTAAATTCAAATCACACCATCAGACTTGGCCATGACAAACAGTCAACAAGACTACAGATTTACTGAAATCAAATGTGTTGGGCCCAGAGATGCAGATACGCAGCCTAGCTGTAAACTACAACACAAAGTGCCAACCATCAGGCCTTGCCTGGACAGAGTCAACAAGTACAGATTTACTGAAATCAGATGTGTTGGGCCCAAAGGTGCTGATATTGCAGCCTAGCTGTAAACTACAACACAAAGTGCCAACCACCCTATTAAGGGTGAACACCAAAGAATATGTGACAAACGTAACCGTACATTACCAACTTGGTAGTCACTGCCACCCCAGTAATATTATATGTGTGAAAGTGTATTCCACCACCCCATATTTTAGCTATCTATCTGACAAAATGAATTTACATTCTAGGAAAGAAAATAAACCTCCCCCCTCCCCTCCAGAACATGTTTCCTATCTGGTGGCATATGATATTCTTTCTCTCGCTCACTCACTCACTCACACACATGCACGCGCAAAACAAAACCAAAATACACGGTTCCTATCTGATCGTATATATCATTTTCTCTTCCCCCCCCCCCCTCTCTCTCTCTCATGCACCCCAACCAAACAATTCACTTTAAAATTAAAATACAATCCCTTTTGTGATTCTGATATAATGTTACTTCTTATTTTTATTTTCAATTTTGTTAAAATATGAATATTAAAGAGTAAGGGGTCCGTGGCTGACCTCTGAAAATTAGAGGGTTACATAGATCTTAGCTAACTGGAAACCACTGACCTAATGGGTCAGCAGTACACAAACATATACAACATTTTACTGACAAACATAACGACCAATCAATTGCTACAATTTGCCTCATGACAATGACAAAAAAATATTAAGGTTCACTAAAACATCCAAATTTAATTTATAACCATGATTTCTTGGACACCCTAGCATTTTTTACACTTCACTACCTCTGTTTGTTAAACAAACAGATAAGATACACAAACTGACAGGCAGCAATAAAAACATACAAAAAAAGGCAGCAATGTAAACATAAAACAAACAAATATAAACAGACAAAGGGACATAGAGTTGGAAAGAATTAAGTAGGCAATTAGTCACACATAAAAACTAGGTGCGTTGTTGGGATGGTAGGGAGAAAATCTGGCAGACCTAGGCACACGCATGCAACCATTGTTAAGACCATGTATTAAGTGTTTCATCATTAGCCTAATGCATCAATATATATACAGTACATAGCTTCTTCTACAGGCAAACTAAAAATCGGTTCAGAACATGAAGAGGGTCTCTACATGGACATAAGATAACCATCAAACTGCCCGTGGTGACCAACATTTCATGGCAGCATATAGGAGCAGCTGGTAAGGTCGTAGATTTGTTTCTGTCAGCAGCAAAAATAAAATCCTAACCTGCACAGTCGGTGGCTACAGCACCAGCCATGCGGCACTAGATCCACAGGCTTAAATACCCCCACCCAAACTGCTAAAAAAAGTGTTAAGTACAGGAAGGGCAGTAATGGGTGGGGGGGGGGGGGGGGGGGGGGGGGGGGCTGATTAGGGAGGATGCTAGCCTTATCTTAGGATTTTGAAATGCAACTGGAAAAACTGAATGTGTTTGTGACTTTTTTCAAATTCTTTATCACTTATTGTTTGTGTGTGTGTGTGTGCCAGGCAGTTTATTTAATAGTACTCTATTGTCTGAAATGATGGGAAAGTGCCAAGATCACAGTGAGAAAGGGAGTGGGCGTGGGTAAGTAAAGTAAAGGTCCCTTTTCCACGCCTTTAGGCGTATAAGGCTAGACCTATATTTCTATAGACCAATCGGCACAAGATGGGTGATGTGGTCAGCATCATGCTGGCCGCCTTTACTTCCCTAGACTGCATCTGGTACCCACTCAAGGCTGAGTTAGCCTCAGAGTGGGTGGTGGGGGCGGGGGGGGGGAAAGAGCATCCTAGGTCAAGTGAAAAGAAGCAAAATCTTGTTATATACATAGCGCATCAGAATACCGCTTTCTTCTTCTTCACATTCACCAGCTGTAAACTCTTGTGGAAAGTTCTGGCTGTCCGCTCACTTCTGGACTTGCATGCAGACTGTTGGTTCCTGGCCTCTCAAGGCAAAATGCACTTCAACGCTGAAGGAAACAAGCCTATCAGCAGCTTTTTACAACATGCTTGTTAGGGGGTTGTGGGTCTATTCTTATTTTCTCCAAAACAGGACCAAGGAACAGGGGGAAGCATCATATTCTTTGTACAGACCAATCGGCACTCAATGGGTGATGTGGCCAACATCACAATTGCCACATTTACTTCCCCAGACTTTACCTGGTACTACCCATTTTAGGCTGCATCAAACTAGGAGCCAGGGCCTAACTGCAAATATAAACTTTTGACCTGCAGGTTGCCAAGCTATACAACCGCAGCTCACACATCCGAGGCAGGATAATGTCTCTATAAGATTCTACAAGGGGGTCCTACGTCATGGGAACAGAAGCCAGTCTGAGGTGGGATTCACTTAGATATGGATGGGTAATAGGCATGTGTTGAAGTCTCATCTTCTATGAGAAATAAATTGTGCCATCTCCACAAGGGGAGGTTGGCTGTAATGAATCCACCAATAACTATGGGAATCTTACATGGCGAGACCCCTATCTCTTCCATGGTGTGACTCTAATAACTCTGTCTACACAAACTTTTCCTTCAATGGCCCAACATGGAATCAAACCCTGATAAATGGCTGAGGACTGCATTCTGAAACCATTTCACTAGCCACAGAGCAAAACTTAAGCTCCTATAAAAGGACCCCTTTCCACACCTTCAGGCGTACTGGGCATATAGGGCTAGACCTATATTTTATAAACTAATCGGCACTCGGCGGGTGATGTGGTCAGCATCACACCAGCTACCTGTACCTGGAACCCATTTGAGGCTGGGTCGACCAGAGAGCCAAGGTCATTTTCCTTTTAAGGCCGGCTTTATCAGGACCTGATCTCCTATAACAGGAAGTCAAGTAAATTAAAACACCCTGCGAGCTTCAGGTTTCATCACAAGTTATCAGTCTTACTTGTTCCAGTGCTCCTTGCTTCTGTAGAGTGCAGGGAACATGATAGGCAGAATGGTGGCCACATTGTCGCTGATGAGGCTGAGGATGTACTCGTTATTCCAGAAGTACAGAGCTCTCTCTGCCACCTGGAAGGAATGAGGGCGGAGGAGGGCAGGATCAGAGAGGAGAAAGGACGTGGGTAAAAACATTGACAACAATATAAAAACTTCAAAAATGCATGATGGGAGCACACAGTATTCATACATGTGGAGGGCTCTGAAGGAAAGGGTTTTTGGGAACAGCAGAACAACAAAATAAACAGGAATTTGAAACACCCGACAATGTGAATATTTGCCTGCTGGGTTCAAATCCGCACTGAGGCGGGATTTTATAATTAAACTGGATGAACCGGTCTAAAATGGACCCCAGGAAATGTCCTGGGAAGTAAATATGGTTGGCGTGATGCTTAACACATCATCCATCAAGTCCGGCTTGGCCTACAAAGTGTCTAGCGCCACATGCTAGCTAGGCAAACTTTATATACAAGAAATGGACACAAAGTTATGTTAACATTATCAATGATTTGTCACAAAGTTATGTTAACATTATCAATGATTTGTCACAAAGTTATGTTAACATTATCAATGATTTGTCACAAAGTTATGTTAACATTATCAATGATTTGTCACAAAGTTATGTTAACATTATCAATGATTTGTCACAAAGTTATGTTAACATTATCAATGATTTGTCACAAAGTTATGTTAATTTTATTAATCTGAAATCACAAATGGTTGTAAATTTTGTATTATAAGTAATGACAGCTCAATGACTGATTCTTATAGAGCTGCAATTTTGTACAGGGACAGCAGTGGTGGGATGGTGTTTCTCATTCTCTAACAAAATCTGCTCGGAGTAATTATGTCTCAAAATTTAACTAGGAAAGTAAAAGTAGTCAACATGACAATTTCTGCTTCTGCGTACTTCCTTATAGGGGCCGTTAACATGTTGTCTTATTGTCTACAATGAAGCTGTGATATCTCAGCCCCTCAGATCACCACATTCGATTTCAGCAAACCAATTACAATTATTAGTCACCTTATATGACATGCTTTTAGGGAGCTGGTAGGTCTTCCCCCTTCCTCCCCAAATAGAGTTCAAAACTTACAAAGGAGAGATAATTCTAAAAGCCTAATGATATTTCATTGTTTGTGCCTTATCAGAAAAGCAACTTATGAATAACCATTTATGATTTCAACATTCACGTGACTGTTAATTAAAAAAATAAAATATATAAAAAATGAAAAACAAGTTGAACTAGTTAACAAATTTCAGCATATAACAACAGAAAACATTCTAATTTCTTCTACAAACACTTATTGATAAACTCAGGGAGAGGTAAGTGTGCACACACAAGGGTATCCAAAAGTTGCACCAGAACAGGCATCCAAATTCTCATCTGTGAAGTGCGGTACAGATGGTGTGTAACAACAGGTGGTTCAGACCAGGTTCCATGCATCACAAACAATGGGGGAAAAGGTTCCGAAATTGGGGTCCATGCACCACAAACAGACAGGTGGTTAAATGACGCCTGCTTACTTGTTCCAGTGCAGCTGGGTCTTATACAGAGATGGGAACATGAGTGGCAGGACAATGACTACATTATCCGAGATGAGACTCAGGATATACTCATTGTTCCAATAGTATAATGCACGTTCGGCCACCTGCGGTCAAATGCACGTGGTTACACTTCTCATACATGATAATCACTAAGTTCAGCTTCTCTGAAATACAAGGTTAAACTCTATTTTGATGACAAGATTACCAACAGTTTCTCTTCTCTGTCTCTTCCTTCAGTTACCCCCAGTAAAGTGTCGGGGGGAGGGGGGAGATGTATGAATGCAATTTTCTGTGTGTCATTTCTAATGCGCTGAATAAGTTTTTAAAAAAACAACAACAGTAAAACTAAAAAAAAACTAAAAAAAAAAAAAAACACAGAAATGTCTCTCAATCCATCAGAAAATTTACCAGTGCCTAGTAAAAATACTATTACAAAAGTAGTCTGGGAATAACTGGTATAATAGCATATATACTCAAGTAAAAGCTGCATACGAACAAATGCAGGCACATCACAATCTTCTGTAGTAAATTCAGGAGTAAGACAGGGATGTGTGCTATCTCCTCTGCTTTTTATGACATACATCAATAATATTTGCAAAGAAGCAGAGAGCGAAGAAAAGGATGATTTCTCAGAATTGTTATTTGCAGATGACAAAATAATAATAGTTGAAAGAAGAGAGTTTACAGAACCATATAAACCAAGTCATTACTAAGTGTGAGAAATATAATATGAGGATAAGCATTGATAAGACAGAGGCAGTGCTAATAGATAGACAAGAAACCATATCAATTAATTTAAAGTAAATAACACAGAAATAAAACAAATGAGCAAATTTAAATATCTAGGGTCATTTTTCACCTCAGATGGAAGAATAGAGAAATCTAATTACCATGTGCAAAAGCAAATCAGGGTCTTATGACGCATAGAAAGATACTTATGTCAACCAAAGCAAACCTCATTAGAACAGTTTTTTGGCTGACATTGTGCTACCAGTGCCAAACATTGACCCTCACTATAACTAACGAGCGGAAGATCATAACAGAGATGAGATTCTCAGGAGAGCTGCCGGTGTGACAAGAAGAGACAAAATCAAGAATAAGGAAATTAGAAAAAGACTAGGACAGAAACCAGTCATACAATTCATTACTGAACAACAAATGAGACGGTTTAGCCATCTGACAAAAATACTCTGGTACCAACTGCCACAGAAAGCCACGCTGAAGAAATATAATAAACACAGTGCAAGGGGAAGACCACACAAGATATGGAGCGACACCATGAAGAGCAACCTAACAGAAATAAACACCAACTTGTACAATGCATTGGAAAAAGCGCACAAACAATACTTACATCTGCCCCCAACACCTCACTGAGGTAAATAGTGGAAGAGAAGAAGATCAAATCAAGTAGTCTATAAAAGACTTGGCGTGAGTGGCAAAAGAACCATGTTACACTTAAAGACAGAAGAAGAACAAGAATTACCCCAATAATGAAAATCAAGTTAACAAATAAAGGATTCTATTTCAATGGCACAGTTGCACACAAAGACATTCAGAAGAATTTTTGGTAACTTCGAAAGTGACAGCTACATGAATACTCGTACTGGACAAAGTAGACATTCTGAAGAACATTTATGAATGAATGCTGAAGGAAGAAATGATGTTAGAAGAAATAACATAGGTAAGAGTGTATCAATTTGGAAGTGAGTGCGGGTCCAGCCAGAAAGGAGGTATGAGGATGAGAATTAATGACGTGTCTACAGCCAGTGTGCCAACTAGAAAGATGAAAGGTCAGCATCTACACCTTAAGACTTTAGCTGTGGGAGAAGGAGCATCTATGAGTTGAGTGTTAAGCTATGAGCTCACACCACAGCACTCAGGACATTCCCATAAGCACTCTGTTCTACAGCAGCCAGCGAAGAGTTCCAATTCCAATGGAGCCAGTAGCAATTTGATTATATTTCCGTCTTGTCTTTCTTCCGAAGCAGGGGTATTCATGTCTCAGTCTTGATGTGTAGGAAACTTATATTGCCTATCAGTTGCAGGTCAACTGGGAGCCAGTCACTAATTTTTGAAATCTTTCATCTTAGGGGTGAGCTATAAGGTAAAAGCATTTGATTTGCATACTTAGTGCTGTGGCACTTGATTTTGCACTTTTTTCTAAGTATTTTCCCGCTAGCACCCCATGTGGTTCCACTTAGTTTTCTCAGAATGGCTACCCTCCTTCTGGCTTTGGTTGCTGCCTTGTTGATGGTCAGCATCTACACCTTAAGACTTTAGCTGTGGGAGAAGGAGCATCTATGAGTTGAGTGTTAAGCTATGAGCTCACACCACAGCACTCAGGACATTCCCATAAGCACTCTGTTCTCATCTTCAGCAGCCAGCGAAGAGTTCCAATTCCAATGGAGCCAGTAGCAATTTGATTATATTTCCGTCTTGTCTTTCTTCCGAGTGTGGAGCAGGGTTATTCAACTGGCGGGTTGCTGGCCAAATGCAGCCTGCAGAGGTCTATCAAATGGCCCACGGATCATTACCACTTGTATTGTATTAATGATTTTTCTATGCTAGGGCTCAGGTCTCTTGACACATAGCCATCCATATTTGTCAAAATATTGGCCCTTGAGTAAACTTAGTTGAACAGCTCTGGTGCAGAGTGTCGACCAGATCCCTTGGTCACTCCCAGCTGTCCCCTTCTCTCCAGATCAATTTGTGACTCAGCACTGTTCACCAGCTCCCAATCTAACTTGTCATACATAAATTCACCACCCATTGGTACAGAGCCAGCCAACTTTTGGTACAGAGCCAGCCAACTTTTGGTACAGAGCCAGCCAACTTTTGGTACAGAGCCAGCCAACTTTTGGTACAGAGCCAGCCAACTTTTGGTACAGAGCTAGCCAACTTTTGGTACAGAGCTAGCCAACTTTTGATACAGAGATAGCCTAGCCAACTTTTGGTGCAGAGCCAGCCAACTTTTGGTACAGAGCCAGCCAACTTTTGGTACAGAGCCAGCCAACTTTTGGTACAGAACCAGCCAACTTTTGGTACAGAGCCAGCCAACTTTTGGTACAGAGCCAGCCAACTTTTGGTACAGAGATAGCCTAGCCAACTTTTGGTGCAGAGCCAGCCAACTTTTGGTACAGAGCCAGCCAACTTTTGGTACAGAGCCAGCCAACTTTTGGTACAGAGCCAGCCAACTTTTGGTACAGAGCCAGCCAACTTTTGGTACAGAGCCAGCCAACTTTTGGTACAGAGCCAGCCAACTTTTGGTACAGAGCCAGCCAACTTTTGGTACAGAGCCAGCCAACTTTTGGTACAGAGCCAGCCAACTTTTGGTACAGAGCCAGCCAACTTTTGGTACAGAACCAGGCGATTTGTCCGCCTGTTCACTGTCCAACACTTCATGTCCTTGAGAAAAAAAAGGAGCACATGAATACATCCTGTGTGCTATGATGCTAACTCACAAGTCGATAAATATGAGGATGCAGGGCTAGTTTCATGTTATTCATGACCAAACCACACTGGCTGGAATATCTGGCCAAGAATATTTCAAGAGTTTGGGTCAAACTCAGAGCCACACAGTAAACAAAGAAATTCTCTTCTGAAGAAAGAAACATATATATATAAAAATAAAAGCCCTGAGCACAATTAAAGAAATAAAAATGAACACATGAATCTATTTCAATCTGATGCAGGGCTACAAAAATGAAATGAAAATGACCATCTTAAACACAACATGATGCACATTATATGACTTATGGGAAAAAAGTCTTAAAAACACAGACTAAAAACAAAAGCATTACATCTGACCAAGCTAACACAGGCAAGCTGAAACTGTTTAAGATTAAAGAAGAAGAACGTAGACATTCACTCAAACCTGAAAATGTGGACTGGAGACACACTTGGAGAGCTGCTTGAACAATGGTGCCATGACTTTGGTGAATTCTGCTGGTTCTATCACATCTAAAATTTCCTCCAGCTCATTGAGAAACATCACCTGGAGGACAGATGTCAAGATGTCCTACAAATCCAAGTCTAACACACATATAAACAAAATTAACTCACTAACTTCCATAAGCCACTGGCAGTGCCAAACAGCAAACAAATCAATTACCAATCACGAACTGCCCACCACTGATATTTTTCAAATACAGTGGTTCACTACCACTAATCTGAAAGGATGGAACATGAATACAACTGTGGGTTACAGGGTCCCCTTTTCTGGAGGATACATAATTTAGCATGCGACGACTATGATATAAATATCAATGTAGATAAACAGCGCACAAATAAACCATCAGTCACAAATAAACTGCACGTCATTGATATTTTTCAAATAGAGAGGTTCAGACATTGGGTAACTACCACCAATTTGAAAAGATGGGACATGAATTCAATTTGTTGGGTATAGCCCCCCACCCCCTTTGGGGGGGGGGGGGATAAAGAACTCAGCATGTGATGACTATGATATGAAGACCAACGTAGACAAAACAGAAGTGATGACATTCTCTAGAAAAGGAAGAAACATCAATATGAAAATTGATGAACATCAATTAAAGCAGGCAAAGGATTTGACATACCTGGGGAGCTTTTTTCTTTTCTTCAGAAGATGGAAGAATTAATAAAGAAAGCTAATCAAGTTATAGGCGAAATCTCCCCAATCTTGAAATGCAAGCACTGTTCAATACAATATTCTTACCAACATAATACTATCAATGTCAAACGTGAACTGTCTTCAGAAGACAGAAGGAAAATAGTCACAACGGAAATGAAATATTTACATACTTTGCTATGTGTAACAAGGAAAGATCGACTTGAGAACAAAGATATCAGGAGGAGAATCGGCACAGAACAAATACTGAATTGGCAGACAACAGATCAAGTGGTCTGGCCATGTAACAAGATTGGCATCAGACAGGGCACCACAAACAGCAATGTTATACAGATACAGCAGTAACAGAGCCAGAAGTCGACCACCCAGAATATGGACCGCAGACATTCAAGAGTAGAGAAGGGCCGGTTTCTAGAGATCTCTAATAGCAGAGACAAGAGATATCTTTCTGCCTTGGTGCAGCGAGGCATTCCAGGAGTAGAGAAAAGAAGGGCTGGTTCCAGAGATCTCTTCCTGCCTTGGTGCAGCGAGGCATTCAAGGAGTAGAGAAAAGAAGGGCTGGTTCCAAAAGTACGGTATATGAAGCGAACAGAAAGACCGGTTCTAGAGATCTCTTTTTTGCCTTGGTGCAGAGAGACATTCAAGGAGTAGAGAAAAGAAGGGCTGGTTCCAGAGATCTCTTCCTGCCTTGATGCTGTGAGGCATTCCAGGAGTAGAGAAAAAAGAATAAAAAAGAAAGAACAGATCTACTATCCCCCAACAAGCATATTGTAAAAGGTAGCTAGTAAAGGAATTGGAAGATACTGGATGTGATGAAAGGTGTGGATATCACAGCCTAACTGTAAACCACAAAACCATGTGCCAACTGTCCTGCAATTAATATCAAACTGTGTTCAGGTGTCGCAGATACAGGGACAACTGGCAACCATGGAACTTTACAGAACTAACTTTTGTTCATTAATAGATACTGTGTTGAAGAAGGAGAAGAGGAGGAAGATGTTACAAGTGAAAGACAAAAAAAAGTAAATAAGAACTTGAGAGAAGGAGAAGGAGAAAGATAAGTTTATCATTACAGAAAACTGTATGGTCAAATAGGGAAATACTCTTTTTGGACTGTAAACTCTAGGACAGAACTTGAGTAAATCCATGAAAAGAGGAAGGAGGAGGAGGATGAGAAAGACAGTAGAAGTAGGGGGGAAAAACGAAAGTAAGTAGCAGAAAGTAGCGGAATAAAAGTATGAGAACAGGAGGGGCACAAGAAAGAGAAGATCACCAAAGAAATCTGGATAATCAAATGGGTGACTTACTTCTTTAGGACTATGAACTTTGGGCCAGAACTTGAGTAAACCCATGATGACCTGCAGGAAACACAAAGTGAACAATAAATCTTATCCACTGCCACTCTCAAAGTTTAAATGGCAAAATGGCAATGTCAGCTATGGGTCTCTTTTAATCCTCCCTCTCAGAGAAAGCCATTTTTTTAAGCTTTTAATGGTTTTGTTTGACACAATGTCTGTGGACAGTGCCCAGTACACCTGTATGAGGCTTTGGCACTGGCTGCAACTGCATAGTGTGTAGACATGGCAGACAAGATTATATTTAGACTAAAAACTTTTTCTGCCATCACACAGGGTAGGAAATATAGAATTTTAAAAATTGTGCATTCACTACAATGTCATATAATTTCATTACGTGACACTACTCTGTTGCAAAGTGACACCAAAACAAACAAAAAAGAACGCTCTTAAATGATCAAAGGGAAAGAAATCAGTTCTTTGCTTTGATTGCACTTAGTGATTACTTCCCACCACACTCAAATAAATCACTTCCTGGTTTAAAGATTCTGTGACCGGACATTTTCCACCAGCCTGTCTTCTTGAAGGTCTAGGGATCTGACCCCCTGAATATTCATAAAAGTGACAGACTCTAAATGCCTCTGTTTCTTCTCTTTTAGTTACTTTGGGTAGTTTCAGAAAACTGTAAAGATGTGCTTAAAATAAAAAAGTATTTTGGTCACTCTTTAGATTTTTACATAATGAAAGGGTTAACAGAAATAAAACTTTTCTAGATACCAAACACTCAGGCAGCAGTTTGCTGCTCTTCTGAAACACTGAGGACAAACCTGCTCAGTTAGACTGGGGTCCTTTTCCAAAAACTGCACAACACAGTAGGCCAACTGTGGGTGGTAGACACTTAGAGATTTCACTTTGTGCAAGGGCAGCAACACCTTCAGCAGGAAAATCTTGTGTTCCTCTTTCAACGGCAGTGCAAACCCATTGATTATACTACAATAAAAAAAAGTGGTTATCATGAGAGAATGTCCAAGCATTTCCAAAGTAACTGTTTAAATATATATATAACCAAATCAGAATACACAGTTTACAGAGGGAAATAAATAAAATTAGGGAAATCAAGAGATCGGGTAAAGATGCTGGCATTGGACAGATATTTACAATGAGAAAATATGAAATCATATATAAACTATTTAAAACTCAAATTCTGAAACAAAACTAAAGTCTAGCAGTGGCAAAACAACCACAAATTTCTGCTGGAGTTCAAAGTCAGTGAAGGCTGAAGAAGATAATGAACATACAAAACAATGTAAATAAAAGAAAATGTTTACTGCACTGTATTGTATCTATTACCATGTTTATAACATATTTAGTATTCAAAATTTACCAGTGTGATAATGATCATTCTAGTAATGTATATTCAATCTTCTTGTGTGTACATTCCTAAAGAGGCAGTTGGCATATTTTGTTGTTTACAGCCAGGCTGGGTTATCTATACCCTTTTCCTTTGATTCTTTTCTCCAGGTTATGAAGGTGTGGTCGGAAATGAACAAGCAGAAAGATCGGGTGGCTGGTATTGCATCAGCAGGGGGTGAACTGGGGTATACACGCACACATAAAAAGTCTTGATTTTCTGTCACTGCCAAAATGGTGCATAACAAACTAAAGGCATTTAATAAGACAGTCTGCCAGTGTGTTGTCACAGAAACATGGTTAAAAGCACACAAACAACATTCCATATAAGAAAATGTTCACAAACCTTTTTAAAAACAAAACAAACTCTTACCTTCCTAAAATTTCTAGTAATTCTGCTATACCATTATGCCTCTCTGTCTCATAAACAAAACTGAAAAATAAAGAACAAAAGCTATACGGCATTCTGGGACAGAAATGAAAGGAGATGTGTGCATGAAGTCACAGAACAGATAGCATTTAATCATTTCATTCTAAGATTATACAGAACACAATTGGACTTTAACCACTGAGACTCCACACACGAGGGCACCAGTTAATCAGTCTGAGAAGAAACATCACCAGTACAATATTTCTCCAAGTATAAGACAATCCCACGTATAAGATGCACTTTGATTTTGGGTGTAGACATTTTGAAGACGGAAAAAAAAAATTTATTATGTTGAATGCTGAATTAAGAATGAACATCACAACTATCATGACACTCCCATAAGAGCTCAGTACCCATCTTCAGCAGCAAGAGAACAGTTCCAATTCCAACGGCACCTGTAACTGTCTAATTGTATATCCATCTAGCCTTGAATGTTAAGCATCAGCCAGATCCCTTCGCAGCTCTTCACGGCACCATTCTCCTCAGATAATGCTCACTCGCTCCCAAAGAACCCTCACAACACCTAACTTGTCATACATAAATTCACCACCAAGTCGTGGAGAACCGGCCAGTCTATCTGCCTGCTCATTTCTCAACATACCAGCATCGCCCTGAGAAAATATCCAAAGGATGCTAACTACCTGGGACCTCTGAAGTGATGCTTGATATTATTACATTTTGTTATTGAACTCACATTTCATTTATCCCAGAGTCCAGAAACCTCCTCATCACTGTCAAAACTATCTCATCCATACGATAGTTCTTCAGCTTTCCCTCGCCTCTGACAAGCCACTGTCTTCACATGTTTCCTCACCTTCAGTTCCATCTGTGACACTTAAAATACTTGAATTCTTAAATGATTTGACAGCAATCCCAATCCCCACATTATCCCAGTATCTTTCTACTTAAGTACAATGTTCTAGCACTGGTTTCTTCACACCACCTGCTGGTGTCAAACTGTCCCCAGAAGACCATTGCCCCTGAACGGGCATTCCCAAATATTTTCTAACAATTTTAAAACCTACTGCTAATGTACAAAATGGACACTGTTATTAGACCTTGAATTTCTGGAAATAGTCTCATACTTGGGAAAAAAAGGGCACATGTGCTGGCAACAATGGTCCTGAAATCTCATGCACTTATTGTGGAAGATTCATCTTAACCAAAGCAGGCTGAGGTAGTCCCTCGCCAACTCCATGGATGTCATTCCCGTGTCTTTCTATAACAAAATGTAACAACAATGTCTGAAAAGACAGAAAGGTGACAACGCAGGACACACAGAGAAATAAATTACAGACATGTGAATAAGATGAAGAGGATATGTAGGGAGCCTCATGAGATGAAACATAGCAGCAGGAGAGCTTGGTATATGATTAGCTAGGCCACCTATCCTTCATGTTAGATAAATGTAGGGAGCCTCATGAGATGAAACATAGCAGCAGGAGAGCTTGGTATATGATTAGCTAGGCCACCTATCCTTCATGTTAGATAAATGTAGGGAGCCTCATGAGATGAAACATAGCAGCAGGAGAGCTTGGTATATGATTAGCTAGGCCACCTATCCTTCATGTTAGATAAATGTAGGGAGCCTCATGAGATGAAACATAGCAGCAGGAGAGCTTGGTATATGATTAGCTAGGCCACCTATCCTTCATGTTAGATAAAAAGCAGAAGGGAAGATTTGTTCTTAGTAGTCACCGGTTGTAAATTCCAGAGGAAAACTTTGGTTGTTTGTCTACGTCTGGACTTTGGCCCTGTTCCAGAACTTGACTTTTATGTGCACATCCGTTTCGCAGATCTGGCTTACTTGTATGCAAACTGTTGGTTCCTTGCCTCTGAGGAAGATGCACCCAGACTTCGAAGGAAACATCCTTAATTGGTAGTTCTGTACAACATGCTTGTTTGAATGGGAAGGAGGTCACAGTGGGCTTTTTCTACCCGCAACCACTTCCCTCTCTCCCAGAAAAGAAGAAGAAGATTGCAAACCACTCACCTGTAAAATATATTGTTTATATGCTTCCTAATATACGCCCGCAGACCTAAGAATTTCCCATATATCCGATGTAATATTGTTTTTAGGAAATCTCTCTCTCTGGGATCTTCACTATCAAACAAATCCAGAAGCTGAAATAAACAAGAAGGTAAAAAGATTAAACTGGTCATTCATTCAGGCAGACACACTCATTCATCCATTCAGGCAGGCACCACTCATTCATCTATTGAGTCATACATCACTCATTCATCCATTCAGGCAGGCACCACTCATTCATCTATGAGTCATACATCACTCATTCATCTATTCAGTCATACATCACTCATTCATCTATTCAGTCATACATCACTCATTCATCTATTCAGTCATACATCACTCATTCATCTATTCAGTCATACATCACTCATTCATCTATTCAGTCATACATCACTCATTCATCTATCTATAGCCCCATAACACTGAGTATCAACGAGACATCACACTGGTGTCATTCAGTCATACATCACTCATTCATCTATTCAGTCATACATCACTCATTCATCTATTCAGTCATACACCACTCATTCATCTATTCAGTCATACACCACTCATTCATCTATTCAGTCATACATCACTCATTCCTCTATTCAGTCATACATCACTCATTCATCTATTCAGTCATACATCACTCATTCATCTATTCAGTCATACATCACTCAATCATCTATTCAGTCATACATCACTCATTCATCTATCCATAGCCCCATAACACTGAGTACCAACAAGTCATCACACTGGTGTCAATTTGATCAAGGCTTTCCATTTCTGATGATCTTCTTCTTCTTCTCGTCAGTGTTTACCGACCATAAACTCAGACAGAAAGTTCTGGTTGAATCGACTATTTCTGGACTTTGGTCTTGTTCCAGAACTTGAGTTTTGCCTGCACATCCATTTCTCAGATCTGGCTTATCTGTACCTAGACTGTGGTTCCTAGCCTATCAGGCATTGCACTCTGACTTCAAAGAAAACTCCTGTAATGGGTCACCTCCAATGACATGCTTGTTAGTGAGGCAGTGTGTCCATTCCCTGAATATCTGGCAATTGACTGCTCTGTAATTAATGTTCCTATATTTAAAGTCTGCCAAGTCAGGCAAATTTTGCATCTAGGCCTTTCGTGGCCTGTCTTATTTCCCCTTTAGTCCTACAGTATAGTTTACTTAACATTAGTCTCAAGACAGCATATCAAACCTATTAGACAAGTATACTCGTCAAAAATCTATCAGCAGAGAATGAAGAGTGAAAAGCAACAACTAAATTTACAAGCTGTTTAACTCTTTCAGTATCAGAGGACAGTTAAAATGGTCATAAATCAATTCACGATATGTTCCTTGGTGGTGAAAGAGTTAAGTCACCACTAATTACTAGCACTATGAGGGCTAATACACTGAAATGGTTGAAGCACACAGAGAGAATGGCAAATAACAGAGAGTCAAAAACTGTGTACATAAAGGAGTTGAATGAGGTGTAGACCACAAGTTGCAACAAGACTTGGAATGCTGAAGAAGCAGAAGACTACACAAGTATATCTGACAGGCATTTATCTCATAGCAGTGTGGATGAGTTGTCAGAGTGATTGTTACTATACATTTTGTGCATTCAGGTTTTATCTGTTGACAAAGACACTGGCTGTGTCTGTGTGTCTCTTTCCTCTTGCTTGGATGAGCTTCTGACATATTCTGTGTTGTTTTTTTTAGCTTTCGTATCAGCTCGACCACAATCATCCAGTTTTTGCAGCCATCTTCTTGGTGTAGCAAGTAGCCCATGAATCATTACCAGTTATACTGTATTCATCCTTTCTCTGTGCTGGGGCTTGGTCACTGGCCTGTGGCGATCTGCATTTTAAAAATTTTAACCCCTCCATTACCTTAGTTGAACCTTACACTAATAATCTCAAACACGGTATACACAAATTTTGGAATAATAAATAAGAAGTTGTTGTCAGCATTTAAGAGTGGACAGATAAGACCATGAAAGACATAATTATAAATGATCAGCTACTAAAACTATGCAGATAAAAAGCTAAAATCATTCAATTAAAAAATGACAAGCAAAACATTATTACCTGCAACACAAACTTTTGGTCTATGTATCGCTTGGCTGTGTTTGGTTGGAAGTCTGGCGATTCAAGGAACCGCAAAAAGAACTCATAGACAAGCTGTGGACAAACAGAGACAATGATATCACATAAACATCTATGCCATGTAAATTGTTTTAAAAACATTAGCAACTGTTTCTACAAATCAATCACAGGCTGTAAGCTCTCACAGAAAGTTCTCGTTGTTCCTCCACCTCTGAACTTCAGCGTTGTTCCAGAACCTGAATGTTGTGTGTTCATCCGTTTTACTGGCTTATTGTGTGCAGAGGTGTTTCTTGCCGCTTGGGCAGATGCACTCAGACTTTGAAGAAAGCCCCCAATTAGTTGACTACTGAGGCATGCTTGTTGGGGAGGCAGTGGGTATATTCTTGTTTTCCCCACAACAGTGTCCATAGAACGGAGAGTTTCTATAAATAATTACAATTGAAGTGGACAGAAATCTTTGGAAGCAGTGTTTGTATCCTAGTTTTTTTTTTAGCGCTCACGGACTCAAAGTTCTGGTGAAAGTCCTGGTTGTTCTTCCATCTTTAGACTTTAGTCTTGTTCCAGGACTTTGAGTGTAGCATGCACATTTATTCTACCTATCTGCCTTATTTATGTACAGACTGCCTCTCAGGCAGACGCACCCCAACTTCAAAGGGATACCTCAATCCTATCTATATTTGCCAGGTACCCAATGTGGAACCTGTTTCTAGGATGGCCGTGCAGAGGTGTAGATAGGTATTGACCACAAAGAGCCCAGGAGCTAGGTTAAAGTCTCAAGCTAAGTTATATGTTGAGAGAAAAATTAAGTTGTAGACTGTGAGTATGAAACTACAGGTAACAAGTATGTTATAGATTAGGAGTAGCCTCTGTTAAAGTTTGGTTATATTGTGTTAAATTATAGGTTGGGAGTAAAATAAGTTATAGGTTGTAAGTTAAGTAAGAATATTAGTTAAAACAATAAGTTAACAGTTAATCAAAAGATTATCTTCACTGCATGTCAAACAAGGAGTAAGAACATTAGTTAAAATAGTTAAGTTAATAGTTAATTGAAAGATTATGCTAACTGCACATCGGAGAAAGAGTAAGAACATTAGTTAAAATAGTTAAGTTAATAAATAATCGAAAAATTCTCCTCACTACACATCGGACAAAGAGTAAGAATATTATAGGCAGCAAGTAAGTTTAGATACAGTTTCAAGCAAAAGTTAGTTATAATTAAGTTATCAGTTTAAAGAAAGTTATACAGGTTGTACGATAAGGTAAATATTAAAAGTAAGTTAAATGGGTGGGGTGGGGAGATAGATCACTGCCCTCTCCCCACCAGCATGTAGTCAAAGTAAACTAATTAGGGGTGTTTCCTTCTAAGTCAGACTGTGTCTGCCTGAAAAGCAGAGAACCAACAGAAATCAACAAGATCATAGGAATGGCTCAAACTATCTTCAATAAGATACAATATTAGACAGCTACAAGAGTAAGAACCATGTTTGTCACCCTGCTATGGAGAAACACAATAACAGGAAACTAGAGCTGTAAGAAACTGGACAAATGAACAGGAAACTAGAAAACTCCCTGCTGTATGGTGCAGAAACTTGGACAATGAACAGGAAACTAGAAAACTCCCTGCTTTTTGGTGCAGAAACTTGGACAATGAACAGGAAACTTGTAAATCAAACTGAGTCTCTGGAAATGTGGATATTAAAGAAAAAAGGTAGTATTTTGTGGAAACAAAAACCAATACAGCGATTCTGGAGAGACTGTTACCAAAAGACATAAGGGCAACTGATTTTTTTCCCCCCATATTAAAAGATAACTTTAAATACAAAATATTGGAAAGATCAAGCGCAAGAAAACAAGAAGCAGATGTGACAAGTGTGAGTATGACATCAAGTGATGGACAAACAGCGGTTTGCAAAAGAATTCAACCAAAACAAGAGACAGCGTGTTGGAAATCCAGTGCAGCCAACTTTCATTGTGAAGTCAGCACATGACTGATGATTCGGAGGGTTCAGGCAGGTTCGGTGAGAAGACAATGGCTTGAATCATTACAGAAGTCCACTGTGCGTGGAGTCACCTTTATTTATGTTCCGGTATACGCAGGCGTTGATGGAAATAAAAGAGCTGATAGGTTGGCTGGATCCGCTATCACTACCGACGGTCAGCCTATGGATCATGCTGATATTATTAATGCCCTCAGAGAAATCGGAAGGATAGAGGAATTTGGGGGCAGCGAATCCACATCACCCGCCAGAATGGCAGACTTGGGAATTAAGATCGGCATAGCAAAAAACGAGACGCACTCCAGACACACCAGAAGACTTGTTAATCAACACAGAACTGGTACTATTAGCCATCGGACGTTGGGGTTCATACTCAGGTGAGGATCTGAGCACCTATAGACATGTCCGGAGTGCAATAATGATAACCCAACAAACTAACTAATAGCACCTGACTGACTGACTAAAGTGATAGTCTGGGGGTGTTAAAGATTGCCAGTATGTTACTCATACAAACTGTCTTCATATTCCCTGTGTGGGTTCTGGGACCCAATTTTGGGGGGAAAGAATAGATGCACTACTCCTCTAACAAACATTTCATTAAAGCTGACTAGGGGTTTCGTTCAATGTCGAAAGCATCTGCCTGAGGGGGCTAGGAACAAACAGTCTGCTTACAAATAAGCCAGATCTGTAAAATGGACGTACACTCAAAACCCAAGTTTCAGAACAAGACTCAAAACCAGAAGTGGACAAACAACCAGAACTTTCCGCTGCAGTCTACAGCCGGTGAAGACAGACCATGAAGAATAAATCTCAGTATAACCAGGTAGATACCTGTAAATGAGGCCAGGCTGCTTCCAGTGTAGGTTCATCCTCTTCTGGATCAAACTCTGCTCCGGTTGGGTTGGATGATGGAGGTAGTGTTCTAAACAGGTTACCTGAAAACTGGAACATGGATACAAGGTTAGCTACAGTCTGTGATCTTATTCTTCTTTTCTGTTTGTCGTTAAAAGGGTGGCTAGTACTTTGTGTTATTTACAGCTAGTCTGCAATATCTATGCCTTTTGGTCCAAAGGTCACCTGATATCTAGATCAAGCAAACAAAGTTAGCTACAGTCTGTGATCTTATTCTTCTTCTTCGTTTGTCGTTAAAAGGGTGGCTAGTACTTTGTGTTATTTACAGCTAGTCTGCAATATCTATGCCTTTTGGTCCAAAGGTCACCTGATATCCAGATCAAGCAAACAAAGTTAGCTACAGTCTGTGATCTTCTTCTTCTTCTTCGTTTGTCGTTAAAAGGGTGGCTAGTACTTTGTGTTATTTACAGCTAGTCTGCAATATCTATGCCTTTTGGTCCAAAGGTCACCTGATATCTAGATCAAGCAAACAAAGTTAGCTACAATCTGTGGTGGTCTTCTTTTTCTTCTTCTGTGGTTAAGAGCAGCTGGTATTTTGTGTTGCGGTTTACAGATAGACTGTGATATCTATACCTTTCAGCCCAATACCTCTCAGATTTCAATAAATCCTAAACTTGTCCAGTCCAAACCAAGGCACCATGTGTGATCAGTTACTGCCCAAGTGTACCAAGCAATCAACAATATGATATTATGCATACTACAGAAATCTGGCTAGTTATTTGAATGCCCTAACTGGGTATATGTGTTGCCATATCTGTGACAGTCAGATTGTCAGTTTATATTCACTGCTACTAATGCTACCCTTAGAAATATCCTGTGAAGTCTTCTAGTACTTAAAAAGTTCACAAGTAATCTTGTACACAAATATGCTAGTTAAGATGTGCTGCCGACTGATTTGTTACACAAATGAAATAGTATGGATAGCTAGATGCCTTTGCAGAATGCAGCGGCAAACTACTGAACCTAAAATTACCTGGAAAAACCAAACTGTCAACACATATTGAGGTTTGTTTGCAATGTCTTTTACAGGACAGGCAACTAACATTTTGTTAACTTAAGACAATCAACAGGAAAATAGAAAATTCCTTGCTGTATGGTGAAGAAACTTAGACAATCAACAGGAAAATAGAAAAATTCCTTGCTGTATGGTGAAGAAACTTAAGACAATCAACAGGAAAATAGAAAATTCCTTGCTGTATGGTGAAGAAACTTAGACAATCAACAGGAAAATAGAAAATTCCTTGCTGTATGGTGAAGAAACTTAGACAATCAACAGGAAAATAGAAAATTCCTTGCTGTATGGTGAAGAAACTTAAGACAATCAACAGGAAAATAGAAAATTCCTTGCTGTATGGTGAAGAAACTTAGACAATCAACAGGAAAATAGAAAATTCCTTGCTGTATGGTGAAGAAACTTAGACAATCAACAGGAAACTAGAAAATTTCTTGCTGTATGGTGAAGAAACTTAGACAATCAACAGGAAAATAGAAAATTCCTTGCTGTATGGTGAAGAAACTTAGACAATCAACAGGAAACTAGAAAATTCCTTGCTGTATGGTGAAGAAACTTAGACAATCAACAGGAAAATAGAAAATTCCTTGCTGTATGGTGAAGAAACTTAGACAATCAACAGGAAACTAGAAAATTCCTTGCTGTATGGTGAAGAAACTTAGACAATCAACAGGAAAATAGAAAATTCCTTGCTGTATGGTGAAGAAACTTAGACAATCAACAGGAAAATAGAAAATTCCTTGCTGTATGGTGCAGAAACTTGGACAATCAACAGGAAACTAGAAAATTCCTTGCTGTATGGTGCAGAAACTTGGACAATCAACAGGAAACCTGAAAATGTTCCCTCAAGGGCTGGGATTTTTTCTCCCTAGACTTGGACTTCTAGTAATTTCCCCTGGCCCTGGTCTCTGGGTAGTGAGACGGACGCCCATTTACATTGTTGAGCATGTAAAAAAAATTCCTTGGCCGTTTGAAATCTAAAAGAGTAGCCTAAAGGTGATGCCCGGGCAAAAATCTACCTAAAGTTACTCAGGAACCTCGCCTGTGCTACAGAGCCTGTGCACTGTGCTGAGCTTCTTCAGACTCAGACCTGAGTTGCACTTATGGGTTTACTACCTGTGTGCTATGATGTTGATCCGTAGTTCAAACCTCAAACCAAAGATATTTGAAACCCGGCACCCATCCCCCCACCTGAAAAGGTGTCTTCACTGACCTTATCTATGGCACATCTTGAAATTTGCAAACTATGGAATAGGGACAGAATTAATCTCAAACCATTTAAACGACACCACAAGTTAAAAGAATTTATTTTTACCAAGCAAATGTCGAATAACAAACGGAAGGACAATTAAAAACATATCAGACCATAATGATGTGTCTAGAATACAACAAACATTTGAGAAAGAGATCTGATTGGTCCCCTCCATTGTGCTTCACATAATACACATAAATAAACGGAGGGGGAGCTCAGAGGCCCTGAGCACTGTCCACACACCGGAGACAGGGAGGGAAAGGGGTGGGGAGTCCACACATGCATAGGAGCCCCATGATAATCTGTGTACGTCAAGGGACTTTTCATTTAGAACCCAAAAAAAAATCAGCCCTGTCAGTGATCGTCATAAAGGTCTCAGGATACTGGGTTTGCCAAGGGGCACTAACAATGATGCTAACTGGGCTCTGAATACACCTTGTAACTTCTGACTGGTGATCTTTCTCTTGATGGGGTTTACCAACCTCTGTCTCCAGACCTGATAGGCCACCAAGCCAATAATTTTTTTTTAAAGTAGGGCTAAGCAACCATTCTTAGCCATGTATAGAAATGTTCTGTATACGTATTTTATACTTTTCATTTTATTTCATGCGTGTGAGTGTGTCAATGTGCGTGCAAGCAAAAAGTAAAGTGCCATTTTCCACGCCCTTCAGATTAATTTGCGCATATAGTACCAGTTAGTTGGTAGATACATATCCTTTACAGAAAGTTGCAGAACTCCAGAATTTGTTGGCGGTTGTGGTTTTTCTAGGCAAATTTACGTCCAGCACTTTGTCACTGTTATTAAACGGTCGAATCTCGATGCCACTGTTTAAACTCAACGCAAGTCGGTCCTCTGCCAAATCGCAGCAGTTGGAATCGAACACAGCAGCCTGGCATTATGAAGCGCGTTCGCAACGCCTAATCTGCAGACGCCCGCTGACTAAAGTGCTAGACCTATGTTTTATAGACCAATCGGCACTCAATGGGTGATGTGGTCAACATCGCGCCTCCCGCTTTACTTCCTAGGACTTCACCCGTAACCCACTCAAGGCCTGGTCGATATGGGTGCAATGGCATTTTTTTGGGAAGGGGGTGGGTAAAAAGTCGGGTTCCATATAGACTCAAACCCACGGCCTTCGGATCCGCAAGCGAGCTTCTAGCCATTACATTATGACAGCCCCCCCCCTCCCCTCCCACACATACAATGCCATTCAGAACGTTAGTAATAATAATCATGTTCGAGAGTGGACCCGAACCGGTGTGACGACGACAGCAAACCATGCCCAGGTCACTGCGCCACAACAGCTGTCTTCTGCTACTAGCGCGAGCGAAGCCTGAGAAATGTGACAGGGGAATTAAGAAATATGACAGGGGAATTGAGAAATATGACATGACACATACAGCACAGACCGCAAGCAAATTAAAGGACAGAATAATATCCTGGCTGTTTTAGGTAACGCGACTGGAGTGATAGCAGACGGTAGGAAAAGCGC